CCAAACAAACGCAATAATCAAATATTTTAGCTCTGAAAGGCAAACATTTGGAGCATCTCACATGATTTAACTGTTCAAGCCGGTAAAAATTACTCAAAAGCTCCTCAGATTACGTCAGTTAGCTCAAAGTATTTTATCTTCTGATTAGTTTCATGGAAAAAAACACTTGTGGATTGTTCAGTAGAAACTATTTATATGCATTCATATGTATATTAATTTATATTATACACTGTATATTACAGTGTTGTTACATAATACTCAGCAGTCCCAAGCAGGACACTAATCCCCAGTAATAGTTAAGAGCAATTAAATATTAAGTAAATAAGAGTTTATATCCAAGTTTCAAACTCTGGAATAAGGGAAAAGAAAGCCCAATCCTCAGATATATCTCAATCATACATAAACTCCACAGAAACTAAACTTATACACTCACATTTTGTGTTATTAATCCATTTTCCAGTTTCCAAAAAGGGCAAATGGTGTTAAAAAGTCTCAATATAGTCATCCGGTACCACTTCCTGAAGTATTTTATTGAAAAAATATTAATAAGATGCGATATGTTGTTAATTTTTGCCTGAATATATTGAATATTTTGGAAAATACCTGTACTTAATCCACACTTTGATGATTTTAGTGGGTTTGTATGAGCCAGTGGCGCCCCCTGCTGGTCACAAATTGTCTGTACCATCATGTTTTTCCCTAATTTTGACCGGATTTGCTTTCTTTTTCCCCAATAAAAAACCCAAAAAATAATTAATCAAGGTTTCAAACCATGCCATGGACATGTCAGGGGTATTTATTCAAAGATTAAATGAAGCAGTGAAGCCCCAGATACATTGCTTTATAGAAAAGGCTCCAGCTTGTGAGGACAGGTCACTTTTTGTTTTTGTCCATACATTTAAGGTACTGCAAGGAAATACGACAAACTGTAATGCGACTCGGAGCTTTAAAAACCTTTCCGACAACTGCACACCTTTCGGGAGATTAACTTTGAGGACGTGTGCTCCACAGTGAGGAGGATATGGTCTGATCAGCCAAAAGACCACACTGTGGGGGGAAAAAAAGAGCCATTTCAAGTTTATCACAACTGTTTTAAACGCTGTAAACATTCACACAAACACTGTAGCTGACTGTTACAGTACGTGTTCACTGATATTTCATTTGGATGTAAACAAATATCAACTGTTCACTTTAACGTTCCCTGTGCAGTTCAAAATATTACAGTAAGTCAAAAGGAAAAAAAAAGCACCATCTCACATTTAGCTGTTTAAGACCAATTAACTGCCCAAAAACAATAATCTCTTTAAAAAAC